TGCACACTGTGCCAAGATAAAAAGGTTGGGTAAACCAACAAACGTACTACTCTACTAGGACAACCGTAACCATCGGTAGTAACAAAAATGTTGTTTTGGTACCAGGAGGCCGATAAAGTGGCCAAGTTCAGCCAGGGCATCATCGGCCATGAACGCTGATCCATCAGACAATGGGTGAGATGGATAGATGTATTAGTCGGGGTGTGTATTATTCTGCTCCCTTTAAGGTCTATTGTATGCCTATAGCTCACAAGTGAGTCCCATTTCATCAAGGAACTTGATTAGTAGGTCCGGTTTCAGTGGTTGAATTTTTTCTACAGTCACACTGTTTTGTGGTTTTTTACATCCCAAAACACTTCCCAGTCCCAAAAAACAGGTGTGTTGGTGTTTCCTCTGCTTGTTTGCAGAATCTGAACTTGCCCTGTTGGGCCGTCCAATCGTCATCAGATTTCATTTAGTTTGCCGTGTCCTGTTAAGATTCCTGTTAGGATTCGTAGTTATTCCTTCTTCCTTCAATGCATTCTGTTACTTATTTTCTTCCAAAGTTTGCTAGGAAGTTCTTGGTTTGTTTGTGTCCAATGAGTGAGTTCTATTTTCCCTTTCTTTTTATCCTTCGGTCTGAGGTGTTCATGGAGTGCGGATTCCTATGCCACAGAATGGTTCGGGTCGTAACACCGGTATGGCATCCCCTTTCCTTGCAAGGGCATCTGTTTCTCGATGTCTTCTACTCCCACATGTCCTGGCAGAGGCTGACTTTATTTTTCAGACCTCATTGGTTTAGTTTAATTTTGCGATTCATCTTTGGGCTAATGATGTTTGAACCTTTGATGGTTGCTTAGCTATCTGACATGATAGCTATATTCTTGTTTTTTTACCCTTTATCAAATTGAATTGGGTACATCTCTCGATCGCCTGGACCTCAACTTGGAAGATACTAGTGAATTTTCCCATGAGTTCTGAGTATTTGGTTCCAAGACCGACTACCTGCCCACGTAACTTCTTGCGTTCTATCCGTCTGTCCCCCAGTAAATGGTGGCATTCTTAAAGGAGGTGTTTTTCTCTCTTTCCCATTTGGTACCTAAGTAGAGAATGGGTTAAGGATAAGATATAGTATCAACGGGAATGTGTTAGGGTATATGTGGAAAAGCGTACATAGTAGAAACTAACGGCAGAACTATTAAACCTAGGACAAGAATGATAGTAGGAGGTGATTGGATAGTCAGGAGGCGTATAGTCTCAGAACATAAAAAAATGTGGGGATATTGCCAGGAAGAAGAAAAACCAGCAGAACACGTCCTACGTCGGCTGAAATTTCTACTCCTGTAGAAAGACAAATGTCTTAAGATTGAGATTGAGTAAAAAAAATGTGCAGAAATTTATTTTAGACAAATGGATCGAATATGAATTTTGAAGAAAGCTTTTAAAATAGATTGTAACTCGTGTAATAAATAGAAATTGGGAAACTAGGAATCTTGCAAATCTTAAAGCGAGACTACAATATTTGTATGTACAGAAATGCGATCCGCCGTCGAAAAGTGTCCTAATCTTCAATAAATTAAACTTCCTCTCGTTTAGCAAACGTTCAAGTTGTAGTCGTATTGGGATTTCGATAGTTTGTCTGTGATCGGTTTTAAAGGATTGTGACTCGCTTACGCAATCCTCGATTTCCTGCTATACATAACTCTCTCGGGCACTTGACCAAAGCAACAACAGACCAGCTGGAACACGATCTCTTCAATTCGATTCATTCCGAAATCGCTTCGTCCCTCTTCCTCGTCTATCGTTGAACACACACTCGGGACATTTGACCACGGACTCTTTTCTCTCAGTTTAGACCCCATCTGCCTTCAGCTATATAATCGGGCGAAGGAATTTTCTTCGATAGAAGGGCATTTCCTCTACTATTTGGGGAAGAAGGAATCATTCCGACTTACATTTTTTTATTATTTTAGGGCCGGCAAAGCAAATCGGACAAAGCCCGACCTTAATTCATGTCATGTAACTTATAAATCCTTCTAATTTTTTCTCCTGCCAATTTTATATGAAATAACGATAACCGATTTCTTTATCCTATTGTTTGCCTCTCTTTACCTACCCCCAAGCCTCGTCAATTGAAGAGAAGAGAAAATCACAAATAACAAACACATACACAAAAACATAATAGTCTGGTTCACTCTACCCTAGAGTACTCAATATCTCTCGGGGTATTTAGGCATAAGCCCCACATTCGCGCTAATAAATTACATCCACTACCAGACTACTAAAGCTCCTCTTCAGGCACATTTCGCCATCGACCCACAATGAGCTGAATAGAAAAGTGCACTTTTTACGCCATCGAGTCTGTTAGCATATAAAGTCATATAAAGTACCAAAATAGTTTATAAGTTTTTAGTGATAATTACATTTCTTGTTAGATTTTGGCTACCCTGAACTTTTAATATGTGTTGGTTCTCCTTTCCCACATTTATTAGCTATTTATTAAAATATTGTATATATTAGTTTTATTGAAAATGTATTGAAAAGGATTAACCAGGGAGGAAGAGACCTGTTAGTTTAGGTAAATTAATAATATCAAAAATATTTCTTTAACTTTCTTGGGTCTTACCTTTTAGGTGAAGGTCGAACAAAGCCGTTAAGTACAGTAAGATCCCCTAATTTTTTTATTTTTTTATACCATAGGAACTAGTTTAGTGGCCGTGGTTCGTCAGTATGGGGTCTCCGGGGAGGTTGATGGAATAAAAAAAAAGATAATAAAATTTTTAAGAATTTTAAAAAAGTTCACACAGTACTCGATATTCCTCGAGCTATTTCGTGATAAGCCCTGCCATTCATGCTAATAAATTACATGCAAGCACCAAAAATCATTCACACGACTCCATAATACTCGATATTCCTCGGGGTAATTGGGGATATACCCTCCATTCACGCTAATAAATTTCATTCAGACATTCATTAACGCTACCCAGAATACTCGATATTCCTCGAGTTATTTCGAGATAAATCCTGCCATTTACGCTAATAAATTACATGTAAGAACCAAAAATCATTCACACGACTCCAGAGTACTCGATATTTCTCGGGGTAATTTGGGATAAACCCCTCCATTCACGCTAATAAATTACATTCACCCAGCCCCCCTCTCTCTCTCTCTCTTTATTTTTCTCTCTCTCCCCCTCTCTCGCCCTTTCACTCCCTGACTATCTCTCCTTTTCTAGCTCTCTCTCTCTCTATCTATCTACCTATCCTATCTATCTATCTATCTCAAGCATAGCTCATTTGAACATCAGGTGTCTCACCGTTTGAGGCGATGATTGACACATCTGAATTCCCCGATTTGTGAAGGTAGATGTTGAAGTTCTAGTGTCCAGTTAAAATTTGTGTTAAAATAATCTTAAATATGTCTACAGATTGAAATGACATATTTGAGTTTTTCACTGACGATCTCAAATTTCCTTGAAGACCGACTCAATCCTAGCATTGCCAAGGACCGGCGTATTATCTTTTTTTTAAGTAGGTTTAGCATCTTTGCTTTGTTCGTCTTTACGCATTAGAACATTTCTGTTTCCCTTGTCATGTTAGGACTGAGTCAGTCTTCAAGGAAATTTGAGATAGTCAATAAAAAACTTGCCCTGATGATGACCTTAAAATAGGTCGAAAGCTCGGTATAAATAACAAAATTTACTTTTTCTTCAAGACCTTGAAGATTGTATGTGAAATGGTGTCTTACCATGCAATGTACTTGCGACTGTCCACAACTGAATATCGAAATATTTTTGTCGGCTCTACTTTCCAGTAGTTCGCTGCTACTAACGGGTCTATTCGTTCTACACGTTGTTGTTGAATGTTGAATTTGTCATTTGAGTGTCTTGCAGGAGAAGTTGCCCAGTGGCAACACTCCTTCACACTTAAATATTTTCAATCTTCACTCAATGAGAAGGTCTCGGGGCGACTTTCGGTTCAATCATCTTGGAGGATTTTCAGATAGGGCTGGAAGTGATGTACTAAAAGATTATTGTGTGTATGTTCAGTGATTGATGATATATTTTTAGCGGGGTTTGATGAGAGGATGAGTAGGTCATTATAAATAGTGTAATTTGAAACGTAAAATGAAGTCTTAATCCTTCGGAGAATTTTAGATTGGATTGATTGGAGACGCTGGTTGAGCCCCACACCCCCACACCAAACAACCATACGCCACAATCATTGTCTTGTAAATTAAAATTTTGTTTCCAAAGTCTAATTTTTATCATGAGTCAAGTAGTCTTTTTAATAATTTATAACATCGGTTTGTTTGCTGTCTTTTCAGTCTTGTGTGGGGATTCAAAGTCAGTCGTTTATCCATGAAAAGTCCAAGATAAAGCACAAGTTCAGTGGTGGGCAATGGTATTCCAGTTATACTCACTACAGTACAGATATTTTTTACGTAAGGTAAAATTTATCTGTACGCTTTTCTTTAAGTTTATCGTCATTCTCCACTTTGTGAACCATACTGTTAATTCATTCAGGTGTTGAAAGTGTTGAGCGTTAATTGAGGGGTTCGTATAATGTGGAGAATCACCAGCGAATGTGTGTTGAAATATTAACATGTGTATATTGAAAACAGAAATGGGCCAAGTATGCTTCCCTGAGGAACACCCGCCCTAATCCGTATATAAGGTGAGAATTCAGTTCAAATCGGTCAGATAAGATCTCGGTATGAGAAACACCAAATCCAAAATTTTTGTAAGCACAATTTTATAGGAGAAGAAAGCCAAATAAATACACCCCCGTGGAAGAAGTTAATTTTCTTTCAAATTTATTCTCATTTTCTATTATGTATATTTACAATATGGAACATAATCTGTACAAAAAATGAGTAAAATAAATATTGCACTACGATAAGCTTCTTAAGGAGGATATGAATAAATTTAACTAAAGTGTACTAAGGCTTGACAAATTTTATTTCCTAAAAACTAAAATTGTCCAAAATAAAAGGCATTACATTTTTTAATGAATTTTTGTTGTTTTGCGATTTTTAAAATTTTAATGAAAGCTGAAAAATATTCGATTACTAAATTTTTTATTGCAAATCTGTGCACGAACTGCCAACTTTTATATCACAGTTATCGTAGGCAATTTAACGACAAAATCCATTGAATAATTGTTACAAAATTGCACTTTATTTATCTTCGTCTTGATGATAGTAAAATTATAGATGAGAGAAGGAACAACATTTAAAAAAAATCTCTATTCTACACATAACAAATTAAAAACCATATAATATATTTCGAATATATAAAAAAAAACTAAAGCTACCATGAGATTGTATCTTTTGGTAGAAGCCGTCTTACAAAAATCTTAAGATAACAATAAATTAACGGGCTTTCATCGGCGAAGCTCAGTTTTGTAATGGATCATGTATTTTACAAAATAGATAAATTGGGCTGAACTCAAAAATATACATTATTAACTGAGTTTAGATTGTTTTCCTGTTTATTAAAATGAGTACAAGTTTTATGTAGAAAGTAGAAGCACACTTAAAAAATACAATTTACTTTAAAAAAAAAAGTTAATTCACAGTATTTTCATCGAAGAATAAAGAGCTTTACATGAAAAGGTACAATTTCGACATACAATTTCCATAAAAATAATTACTTGATAAGTGTAATTACAATCTATGATGTATAATGATTGTATGTATGATGTATAATGATTTTTTTACTCTATTGTACTCCATTTTTTACATTGTTTAACATAAAGTCTTAAAATGGCCGGTAGGAAAAAATCTTACATACTGTTATGTAATAATACAATAAAAATTAAAAAAAGACTAGAATGCTTAATTTTATGAAGTTCCCAATGAAAATCTGCTTCATGTTTGATATTTGACAAAAATAAAAGACGCAATACCTTGACTTGAATTAATTTTTTTTTCAAAAATAAAAATGATTCTTTTATTAATTTTAAAAATTGACGCAAAGAGAAATACAAGAAATTTATGAGCTGTTATGCTTAAAAAGATTTTTACACCCTACTTTATAAATCTATCTAGGTTTTGCACCCAAAGGACAAGTGTTATGCGATGCCAGCCGATGCAGTCAATTTGTTAACAGGTCCAAGCGAAGAGGTCTAGAGTCCATCGTTTGAGGCGACTTGGAGGTTTCTTGGGATGCGAAGAAGTAGAGGTGGCGTCAACGATGGGTCGAAATATTGGGTTAAACTTGACAAAGGCAATGTTAAGCATGGTGTTGGGATGGCCTGGAGTATAAATTGCATGTAGGATTGAGTTCGTCGGTCTGGACCGGTCTGACTTCCGATAACCTTACCGACTTGGTCATGAGTGGGTTCAGGGGGAGCTTTAGTTCGAAATGAACTCCTGAGTGCCCCTGTTGGGGTGTCGTCTTACAATGCACCCGAGCAGTAATCTGTTCTCGTGGACGATGAGGGAAACCAAATTGCTGCGAAGTATGTAAAATCTAAGATGGACATTGGGTATTTTAAAAGGAGTCTTTCAAGGACTTTGAACATTACTGGAATAAGTACATGGTAAGTCGTTAGAGTATATATGGCTGGAAAATTTGATGGATTTAGGTATAAGAGTGATTATGGAATATTTCCACATAGGGGGATATTATGCTTGATGAATTTTGAATGATGAACTTTACTTCAGAAAAAGTTTACAATTTAATTTTTTGAAATTTTTTTTCTAAGAGAACACATTGTAAAACACACCCACAAAACCTTTATTACATGAGTTTAATTTCTAAAGTGTAATAATAATAAATATTTCAGTTGTTTTTTTAACGTAAAATTTTACGGTTTAGCATATGACTCTAGCTGAAGGACCTCTAGGAAGGAAGAAATCCGTTGATCCGGAGGGCTAAAAAATCTATTTAAAAAAATAAAAATTAGCCTAGCTTAATGCGCCTTTTATTTTTTAATATATCGTGTATGTATTTATATTCAGTTGATAAAAATGTGCCGATTGATTTCATAAAAGAGCCCTCGTAAACCCGTTTTCAAATTCTAAGATTGCCCGTGATCTTTGAGATACGCACGCAGTTCAAATTGACGTACGAATTGATTTTCTTCTTCTTGGCCCCGTCCTGGAATTCCTCGATTACGTGAATGTGTCGTAGAATGGGACGGTACCCGGAGAAGGCGTCGTCGTCTGGAGAAGAGACGGCGGTGTCGGCGTCCCGATGAACGGCTTCCTATCCATGCTCTGAAGAAGGCCCCTCAAACCTGACAAAAAGTGGATAAAGTTAATATGAAAATTATATAGAAACGGTTTTATATTTATGCTTATTATGGAAAATTCTGTGGATAGGATATAGGTCGGCGGATCGGTGGGAATATTCCGTCAATTGTGAATGATCGCGCTCGATCCCGGTCCGCTTTTTTTCGCTGTGAACAAGTTTTCTTCCTTGTCAGATTTGATGATAAAAATTCAATTGGTAAGTTACATGAAGTTATTAAATGTTTTATATGTGTTTATTTATTTTGAAGTAAATAACGATACATTTATATATATTATATTAAACACATAAAACACACACACACACACACACACACACACACACATACACAAATGATGTGTACATATAACAAAGATGGCTCCAAAACAAACGAAGGAACCGGATCAGGCGTTTTCTGTACAAGCACAAAACATGAGCAATCAAACTCATTAGGGAAGTACATTTCGGACTTTCAAGCAGAAATACATGCCATCAATGCTTGTGCCCTGGAAAATCTTAAAAGAGGTTACACTGGCAAAAAACTCCTCATAAGATCTGATGGCCAAGCAGCCATTAAAGCATTAGCATGTGAAAGAATCACATCAAAATTAGTCAGTGAATGCATCCAAAATCTCCAAAACCTGGGGAAACACAACAACCTGATGATATCTTGGGTGCCAGGGCACAGGGGAATTGTGGGTAATGAGAGAGCAAACAGACTGGCCAGAGAAGGATCTGCAAGACCGTACATAGGCCCCGAACCTATTCTTGGGATAACAAAACAAATATAGAATCTTCCATCGCAGATTGGATCCAAGCAAAACAAAAAGAGAAGTGGATAAACTTTAGCGGTGCTAGACATAGTAAACTTATGATGAAACAACCCTCACCAAGACTGGCAAAAGCACTGCTGCAATTGGAGAGGGCCGAGCTCAGACAGGACTACTAGCCGGTCACTGGCATCTGAGAAAACATCTACACAACATGGGAAATACAACGATGATCCCATCTGCAGATTATGTAATGGGTAGGAGGACACTGCCACCCATATCTTCGAATGCGAAGCAACAGCTCAATGGAGATTTAACCTAACTTATGGAAAAAAACTTAGGGAATCAAATTGTAGCAGCGACAGTCAATGACCTGATACTTCAAAGGAGAAGGATTGAGTCTATTGCACTGGACTAAGGCCCTAGGAAGGTACAATAAACCAGAAGGCTATACTGCCTGGGGAGTGCAAACCCCGCTTCCTAGTATCATTTTTCACCATACCATACCATAACTCAAATAAGATATCAAGACAAAAGGAAGCGGCACTAGAAATTGTCGTAGGCCAGAAAAAATGGTTCAAGTGCAACTTCATTCCTTTTAAAAATTTGATCCAAAAGTAAGATTTTAATATACCTCAGTATACCTTGGCCGTAATAAAAATTATTTAACGTAAGTATTTAACATCGATCACTGGACTTGGGAATATGGGTCTAGAAGGAAAACGGTCATACCAGGTTGTACTTAGGTCACATCAGGATCACACATGTGCACCACATTGAAAAAGTGAAATTCATTGTACAGCACTTAATAACTAATTACAGAGAATTAAGTGTGCAAAGCAAGAAATTCGACATTCCACATGACCTATGAGCAGCTTTGGGACACATCACTGTTCCAATACCTCAAGGAAATTTTTTATGTTTATATTTGTTTATAAGCTATTAGTTGGAATGAATGTATTTATTAACAAGACCCTTCGACCCCCAAAGAATATCGTGTTCTGTGGTATTGATGAAGGCATTTATTAGCGAGAAATGAGAGGCAAGACCGCACGGGCCGAACGAACAAGATATGTGTTGAATGTCTGTATTGGTTTGAATGGGAAAAAAGTTTTTATTTCTATCAATGTGAACGTCTGGTAATGAATTTATTAGTTTGAAAATAGAAACCCCGAGGAATGTCGTGTACCTTGATGAGTGAAGTTTGGTGTATGAATGGAGGGTGCTCTTACTCCAATTTCGTCGAGGAGTAAGTGTTATTGAACGAGATGACCGGAAATCTTTTTTATCCATGTGAATATAGAGCTAATGTAATTTATTAGTGTGAAAGTAGAGGCCCCGAGGAATATCAAGTACACTGGGGGAATGAACGTCGTTGAGTGAATATAATTATTAGCGTGAATGTAAGGGCCAAACCCTTTCATCCCAGATGAATATCGAATAATCAGGCAGAAATGAACGAAATGTATCTGTAATTATTGGCTAAATGGAAAGATTGAATAAGAAACCATTTTGTTCTATATCACTGAGTGGATGTAATATATTTGTGTTTAAGTAGAGAACCCGAGGAATTCGAGCACTCTGGTGCAGCGTGAATGAAATTTGTTGAGTGAATGTAATTTATTTAAATTGTTGATGTTAAATGTTAGATTTATCGACCACTTTTTTACTCACGAATAATCTTGATATCGGTGTGAATTCGAAAAAATTCAATTGTTAACTGCCAAGCTTTCGCCTTATTTAAGGTCATCATCAGGGTGTAATTTACTAGCGATAATGGAGGGGATTAACTCCCAATTACCGCGAACAATATCGCGTACTCTAGTTCAGAGTGAAGGAAGTTTGATATGCGCAAGGTATTTATTAGCGTGAATGGCTTTACCCCAATTACCCCCAGGGAATATCGAGTACTCTGGAGCAGTGTGAAGTATCGTATGAGAATGTATTTATTAGGGGGTAATGGTTATATCGAATATATATGATACAGTATATTCGTCAATTTTGTTTATATGCCGAAAGTCGTGGGTTCGAAACCCGATCGTGACACTAATTTTTTCATCTCAACCGAGACCTTACAAAAAAAGAGTAATTAATTTAAAGAAGTAATTTGGTCAATCAGACCACCAAAAATAATGGATTTGCTTATAATTATAATTTCATTTATTATTAGGGCGTACATATAATATTATTATATAGACAGATAACACTTGCTATTTCAGACAGAAAAAGAAACAACATATGGAACATTTATAAAATACTTTACGACATGGGTAATATTTGGCTGTAAATATAATAATTTTACTATAAAAAAGTGCAAAATTGGGTTCTAAATTATATAAAAACACTGAATACAAATGAAGAAATAAACTAAACAGTACAGAACTTGTACCATATTGGGAAAATAATATCCAATTTCTTTATTAAATTCAAAAACAAGGTATTATTAATTTTTGATTGTAGTCCAATAAAGGAAAATTACTTAATTTAATGTCTTCTGATTTATCTTTGGTAATCTTCATACAAACATTTCTCATTGTTGACTGTTTTTTTTTTTGTTTTTTTTTGAAGCGGTAGGAGGTGAAGTTTGTGCACCCTTAAGCATCCGAGAGACAATAGTAGAGAAATCAAACCCAACAGTTCAGTTAATTTAATGGTTCCACCTATGTTACCATACTTCAAGCCATGCTGCATGCACCACTGGAAACAATGTTCTCTATGAACAGGGAGTCTGAAGAAACCAAGATTTTCCAGCGTCCATTTAGTCGGTTTATCTCCCTTCTTAAGTCAAGAAGTTTAGATTTTTTATTTCTAAAGCTATCTGGAATGTCATGTTGCATATAATAGTCGATGCTCTTGAGTTTCCTCGCTTGTCGAAACACATCCAATTTTGCTTGAGGCCAGACGAATGAAACTATCAGGACTCAATGTTTCTGTCCCTTTTTACACCTATGGGCCCAGGCAAAGTCCGACCATCAACCCTGGTGCCTGGGAGTAACCAATGATGGAGGCAAAATCCCAATTGCCTTCCTTATCCTTCCTACCTCTTTCCTTTTCCCTCCCTCTCCCGTTCTGCTTTGGCAGAGGATTCCTGGGTTACTGAACCCGCACCCCTCAGGCAACGGGTGCATCATTAGGGAGTTCGTATGACCTCCCGGGTGGGCGATCAGTCCCACCTTAAAAATAATACTGAACCACGGGAGTGGAGTATCCAAGCGGCTCTACTAATTGAGGTTGGACTCGTGGTGGTCGTGATTTGTAAACAAATTGTACCTTAGCTTAGTACCGGCCAACCGGAGCCGGAGATAGAGTGCCTTCTCTATCTCTCCGGGGGTGGTGAAAGGCATGAAGCTGGAAACCACAAAACTGCCTTTTTCAAGGCACATGTATGGATGTGCCCTTTTTAGGGCACTTCTGAACTTGGTTAGTATTGCACCACCTCGCTAGCCAAGGGATGTGACAAGTCCATGCACGTAAAATCTTCCTTGTGTTCTTTCGAGAAGGCAGAATTACTAAATCTAGGACATGCTAGGGCTAGAATAATAGTTTAACTGCTGACTGGACACTGCACGGAGGCATATGTATAGACTCGGAGTGGCAGGAACAAGCCTGTGGAGATATTGCCAAGAAGAAGGAACAGTGAAACATTTCCTCTGTTGGTGAGAAGGCATATGAAGGCTGATATTCCTAATCCTGGGAGAGGAAAAGCCAGGGCCTGAAGGATACACACGGGAGCCCTTGAAAAAGCTTTGGGGTCTGGTAAAAAGCTTAACGAGGAGCTCTGGACAAAAAAATGGAGATTCACAATAAACCAATACTGGTCGCGGTTGCGCAGGACGTAAAGAGACCATCTCCTATATACTCTATCTATACTCCATCTGTCATGTTTTGATATGCTACTTCTTCGCTTTTCCGATTTTCCAAACGAAATTCCACGAAATCTTTGTGAAACTGTTGATTTCATTCTTTGAAGCGACAGATTTCAATTTGTCGTCCAACGACTGACATAGTTTTCATCAGCTCAGATTTGGATGTGGTGACAATTTCTTGTTTCAGAAAGTTGGTGGGTATATCACACCGGTATCTGAGTCTGGGTTGACAAGTTTCAAGCTTTTATTTATCTGTTCAGGGGCATTTCTACATCTTTTGCCAATATTTGTTTTTGTGAAGTGGTTGATTTCACGGCCAAACAGTCATCAATTTCAGGAGACATATATAAGTCGAAAACTGTTCGATAGAT